CTCTTGGTGTAAAGTTCTCGGTTAACATTGTGTGTCGCACATACAATCTTGTGCCTAGGCATTGGACACCAGATCGCGCGTTAACCGGTATTTGACGATTCAGCGCGGGCCATCCAGTTATTGGATGATGTAAGGCTAATTAAGTCGGCAGACTGGGTTTTTATTATTTCGACCACGGTCATTTAGTGCGTTTGTCAAAATACGTATGTGGTCAAACTTCAGTTTTTTATGGGAAAAATAGCTGACAGTCTTTATCTTTTCAGGTGTTGATGCTATAAGTCGTCTAACTGCTCCACATTCTGAATTCCGCCGCCCTGAATTATCAACCAGCATTCCTTGCAATTCGAATCCGTATTTTAGATGTAAATAATCATATGTTCTCGTAGCGCTTCCATACGAGTATTAATGAATTAGGTTAATTGAAGGTATACAGTCAAAATATATCTGCAGAACGCTTGGTCCTAATATAGATTTGTAGCCGTTTTCAAATGAGTTGATCATTTTTGTTAGATTTATCTTCTGTAGTAAATTCCATAATAATAGACTTTAGTCTTCAAAAAGTTCAAACTTATTTCTGTCAAAGACCTTGTTGATACGTTCAGGCCCTTTTTTGAACCAAAAACCAGAAGTGATCCTTTGGATTGGTGTTCATGAATAGCTTGATATATCAAGGTCATATCCATTATCCTTATGTTTTGAATGTGTTCTAGTTTCATTACTTTCAGTTAAACTGGATGGGATCTATATCTATGCTTCAGTATGTTTGTGGCCTCCTTGAATTCATTTCACTACTCAGTAATGAAAAATAAGGCAAGTTGACCTGTGTTAGTCCCATTTCTGTGAAGGTCCAGTTTCCCTTTGATAGTGTCCACCCATGTGGTTGATACTATTTGTCCAGTCAGGACTGTTCAATCGTTGACAATTTAATTTAATCAGAACTCCATCCTCGGTTTGTTTGATCGTAGTGTTTGGACATTTCTGTTGGTCTTGGAGATAGTTAGCCCTAGAGAAAGAAGAAATGTAGGCCATTTTGGCATCCTTATCACTATTTAAAATACATAATTCGAATACAAGATCACTCCACAGAACAGTAAGATCATTTTATGAGGATTGTCACTTTTAAATGATTTTTATATTCTAGTCAAAACGTCTTAGACATTTTTACATGACATAAAAGAAAAAAATCGAACTTCGCTAATTTAGTGGCATGTGAAAGATATTCCTAAATCCATCTTTGAATTTATCCTTTGACCTGTTTCTAGCAGTTTATAATATTTCTTCAGACGAAGACTGGATGTTCGCGTACAGCACCCTGACTTTGGACTAGAAAATACGTTATTAAGTGTCCTAAACTTTTTGAATGCTAGGTAAATAAGTGTGAGGATAGCTTTGAGGTTCCTCGAAGATTTTTAATAACAACTCTTTGATCATTATACGTTTGCACAATGGGTAATACAATATTATTTGTATAATTATCCATGTCTTGATGACCCTATGGATCATGAGGCTCTTAGTGTCAGTGTTTCGCATTTCATAAATACCGAATCCTTCAATAATATATAAAGGTCTTTCAAAATACCTTCAATGCCCCTATCAAGTCTTGTCCCAGCCTCCAGGGACAACTGCTTGAGGCCGGTCGCGCACGGCCTTTTCGTGGGAAGTTTTTGACGTGTTAGCTCCGTTCTTCAAAGGGCCTTACCGCCGGAGACGGAAATCCGTGAGGTAAGGTGAGGTGTGCATTCTTAGGGTCGACCTTTTCTAACCCCACCCTCCTTGTGGGAAGGCAGCATCGCTGTCATGCTGGTTGTCTGAAGGAAACACCTTACTGCTGTCGCACCTCTGTACAGTCAGCAGTACGACTTCGCCTTCGGACCTTGGGTTTGTTGCTTTTAGTCTTACCGCTCTTCAACCGACCTGTCTGACATTGTAGGACCTTGAGGAACGGTTGTTCCAGCCAGTATAGCTCGGTTGTTTCATCACGATAGGCAAGCCCGACCACCACGTCAAGGTAGCAACAACGGTCGGGACTGACTGACTAGTGTCAGTGTTTCGCATTTCATAAATGCCGAATCCTTCAATAATATATAAAGGTCTTTCAAAATACCTTTAATAACCCTATCAAGTCTTGTCCCAGCCTCCAGGTTTTGGGTGTCTTCCAAACTTTGCAAAAACAATAACTGCAATAACGAATTTGATGATCGTTGAAAAATACCTAAGAGACAACTGCTACCCACAGAAATCCATTGGCAAATATAGAAAACCTAAAGAAAACAAGACGGAAGTGACTACAGTCCATAAACAGAAGTACATAAACAATGTAAAGGCTTTTTACTCGAACACTGTCAGTCGAGTCGGAGTGTATGGCGAACGGTCATCTGATTTTGCAACTCCAAGTGGTGTCCGTCAAGGTTGTCCATTATCTCTGTCTTTGTTCAACTTCATCATAGACCTACTGCTGGAAACGACGCCCTCATGGACTGAATTTTTGGGCATTGATCTCCTAAAAGAAGGTCCACTTATCGATATGGTCCTGTTTGATGAAGACGCTGATAAAATACAGAGTCTTTTGATAGCACTGAGCAAGAATGCCAGGATGTTTGGGATGTGTTTCTCCCTCCCACTAAATGCGAGTTGTTGCTTCGGAACTGGCCTGTGTCAAAACCTGAACTAAGGATAGGGAGTGAAGTAGTCGAACGCGTTGACAACTTCACTTATCTTGGAATTCTGATCAGCCTGAATGGGTTGGTGTTTTACGAAATCTCAGCATAGATTCGGAAAGCTCGTTTGACTTTTGCCAACTTACGTCACCTATTGGCGAAGGCAAGATATCCGTCCATCAATGAAAAAGCGAGTATACTGTGCGGCAGTTTGTTCTGTTCTACATAACGTGGCCATTAACAGTATAAGATACTCGTAAGTTGCTAGGATTTGATCACAGATGTCTTAGAAATATTTCTTGCATCTACTGGGATCACCGGGTAAGTAATAGTGAGGTTAGACGCAGGGTATTAGGGAATGATGGTAAATCAGTTGATGAGGTTGTTAATCTTCATCGACTGAGGTGGTTAGGCCACGTGTTATGTATACCTGAACACCGATTACCACGACGCTTAATGCTGATCAGTGTTGGAGACGGTTGGAAGAAAGTTAGGGGCGGCCAAACCAAAACACGGAATAAGTCCTTGAAGTCACTAAATTCTAGTCTTAGCCATGTTGGTAGATTCAGACTACTTGGTTGAAGTCCGCTTGACTGTCGTAAGCAATGGTGAATCCATGCTAATCTGCCGAAATATTTGTTTTGCTCTCTTCAAAATGAGGGGAACTATGTGTATGATACTTCAAAAACCTAGAATTGTCATCCTATATGAGTAATATTGACCCTAAGCCAGCACTCTCAGGAATTTCGCTTAACACTAAATGGCATAGAGCCGCCTTTTAACTGAAATTATCAATTCTTCCATAATCCCATTTTCTCTTGATTTAGATAGCCTAGTTAAGTTTAACGAAGATCATATGTATACATAGCTTGATAGGCTCTTAACAGCATTTGAATGTCACGAACAATTTACTAAAAAAAGTTGTCTGTTTAGTTCCTTTCTGCCATTGGTATAGTGACTTGTATTTTTCTGCTGTTCATTTTATTAATTCTCCATCTCTTCTCTATCCATTTTAAAACAAAGCATATCTGTACTAGATAGTTTGTTATTTATTACTTCACTCGGTTATTTATTATGTTTTATTGTTTGTTGCTTCAATATTGGTTATTTTTTAATTATCTGTAAAGTATATTCGAATCATATTTATTATTAATTTAGGTCTGAAACTGATAATTTTGAATGGGAATTATCTAAAGAGAATATAAAACCATTGAAAAGTGGTCGATCTGTTGAATTATTAAATAAAGTATTAACATCACAGCGATCAAATGAATTTCAATTGAGACGTCGTCTTTTAAGAGAGTAAGTTTATATATGTTTCAGTAGATTTCTCTATTTATCGTTTCTATCATTTTATGATTTAGTAACTACCATTTTTTTTAATACAAATAATCCTAAGAAAGAGTATTAGAATTGAGAACAAATTCCAAAGAAAAAATCAGAAATTTTTGAGTATTTATTTATTTAAACGCATAAAAATTGGTACAAGTAGGCACCAAATAGATATGCTTCACATAAATCATTCGATTTGTGTTAGGGCTGTGATACTGCACGGGTGCCCAGACAGAAACAGGTAGTTTTCTTGAGGGGCCACACCTGGAGCCTTTGGCCTAAAGGTATGATCCACAATGCATTGAAACAACGTCAGGAGATGCAGTCCCATGGTAGCCAGCGACCAACGATTGGTTCATACACTATTTATTCCTTCAGGGTACTGGAGCCTTTGTGCACCATTAGTTTGTAATCAGGGTTTTCCAACTCCTAGGCGGACTTTCCGTGTCTACGAACACGGTTAAAGTGCCGGCCATTCGCTTTTCATCCTCTTTGTTTCGTAAACAACACCCCAACTGAGAGAAGGCAGTGAGTAGGACTTCCGTGGCAGTGGTTGTGTGCACGTGGTCATGTAGGAGCATTTCGAGAGAGAGAGCTGACTCTCCCCACTCTCGACCGTACCACGGCATTTGGGGGCATTTGAGTAGTTATCCTATTTATTCTTGAATTGTCAAAAACTCAAATGCTGTTAAGTTTGATTTTCAATTTTAATTGCATTGATATTAGTATAATTAAATTCGTATTAGACAATAATTAAATATCAATTGAAGTAGTTTCGGTGAGACTATAGTTTGTGGACGAACCAATCAGGTATAAAATAACGGGTCTTGGATTTTGGCGTGAAATTCACTCATCCATTTTGCTAAATTGATTCATGTCATTATATCTGATGTCAGTTCGTGGTGAAAACCAAGTGTGTTGTTCCCACCACTTTTGGTCATTTTCCCACTTATTCGATGGCTGTACTGCATGTTGTATACTGTTTCACGTCAAGCTTTGCGTAGAAATGTTTTTAAATACTTAAGATTGCTGGATTTGATTATATTTGGGTACACAATCAGTCTAAACGTCTTCCATATGACATCTGGGTTAAAGCATTCGATATTCAGAATGATATCGAATTACGATTATTAGCCAGGTTTTTGAATTCTTTCCTAACGACTCTTTACCTTCTCATCCTTCAATGGTCAAAGCCATTAAAGCCAAACTGCATGATTTTGGCTTTGTCTACAAATCTATAGATGATGATACATTATATTATATTCGGATTTGTCTATCTGACTCTAGGGTTAAGTTAGTATAGAGACTTGGAAAATTTTTGTCAATTTGAATTGTCAGTGAGAAGAAAGTTAACTACTCAAATAAGTAATCAAATACTAACTCGTTTATCTAGTTTCGAGTTACTTTATGTCTAACAATTCGTGATATTGCTGGTATAGCTGAATAGGTAATGGTTGAAGTCGAACTCTCTCTGCTGTAATTATATTTGAAAACTAAGTGTCAGTCTTAAAAAGTAAAGGTAATCAATATTTTTCATGGACTTCACTTTATTTACTGAGTTAAATCATTCGTTTAGTGTACGTTATGTATGTGCAATTATTGTTTGCTTTTCGTAGAATTTAACGGCAAGACTATAATTTATGGACGAACTAATCAGGTACAAAATAACAGGTTTCGGATTTTAGCACGAAATTCATTCATCCATTTGGGTAAATGGAGTTTTGGCATTATATCTGATGTGATGAAAACCCTAATTCTAATTCTTAATCCTAACCATTAACTGCAAATCATAATTCTATTTCTTCACACTAGTTTATAACCCTCATGCGGTCGTGGTTATTAGGTGTATACTCTCAAGGTCAGTTCGTCGTCACTCAAAGGTCGTCCATAAATTATAGTCTCACCAATTTAACTCCACAATTTCTCGATTAAGTGTAGCTTTTTTAATGCTCGCATCTTAATTGGGAATTTCGGTAAAGTTTAATTACTCAGATAATGTATTATTAAATCCAGCAAAATGTCCACATTAATCATGCAGCTGCGTTATGTATTTTAATGTAAAGTTTTTAACACATTTAACTACTGTAGTTGACTTTTGACAATTTACAACTCAAATCTTAGTAGACGCTTTAGGCTGCTAACATTAAAACAGTGAATTGTTATAAGTTGTGGGTTTGTGCCCCTATCAATGATAACGCCTATTAGAGAACAGTGAATTATCGACCGGACCAACGACGAGTAGTCTAGAGTCCTTAACGATCCTGCTTCCTGTCTACCCCTGCCCGTTAAGTCTAGAACACCAATCTCAGCCTCTGCGATATGCTGTATATTATTTATTTATTTGAACACCTAAACATTGGTACAAGGAGGTACCAAATATATATGCGCCACACAAACCTCATTTGATTTGTGTGAGGGCTGTGATACTGCCCAGCTGTCCAGACCGAAGTAGGTGGTTTTCTTAGGGGGCCACTCCCGGAGCCTTCAATCTAAATTTCTGATCCACAAGGCAGTGGGGCATCGTGAACAGATGCAGTCCCAAGGTAGCCAGCGACCAACGATTGGTTCATACGTCATTTGTCCCATCAGGATACTGGATCCAGTCCATGTGCACCATTGGTTCGGAATCAGGGTTTTCCAACTACCGTAGGTGGACTTTCCATGTCCACTAATCCGGTTAAAGCGCCGGAAGTTCACTTTTCGTTCTCTCAATTTCGTAAACAACACCCATGGTACGAGAATTCAGTGAGTAGGACTTCCCTGGCAGAGGCTATATACGTGTGGCCATGCGAGAGCATTGGGAGAGGGAGAGCTGACTCTCCCCACTCTCGGCCGTACCAGGGCATTGATTGATTGATTTTAAACATACTTGGGTTTATATGCAAACCTAACAGATCACATCACACCATAAAATAGAAAATACACATTTGTACGAGATTTAGCCAAAAGTGGCTGTGAATGTAGGAGGTAGTAATTGATAGACTGGGTAGAAGCCAAGAATAGTAAGTCGTATAATACTAGTTTATAGGTCAAAAGAAAGCTCATAATAAGAGGGATACGAATATGAATAGTTTAGTTACTTAACAGTTATACAATACAAGATATACGTATAGTATTGGTCCATAAATGGATCTCAAAAGTCACCATTCATTAATCTCATCGGGATATATAACATTAATTGAAGTAATCCTGATAAATTTTTACGTCGCAACAATATCATACCTTAGTTTTCCAATCAAAGAAAGTGGGATTTTTCTGGAACAGTTTTTCCTGAAGTTCACGGTTAAGTAACAATTTACAATGCAAGGTTGTTTTCTTCTCTTTTTTGGTTTGTATCAATGTCGGATTTCTTTATTCAAGGGATATGATGCATAACTTACAAGTGTATATGAGAATGAAGTGTGTTCTGTCGAAACTGTTTTACATCAATGCTGCTATTCTTTTTTTATGTGTGGAGAATTTGTTCTAGATAATGTTCAACTAAATAACAATAACCATGTCTGTTTATTTTTCACTTGAGGTTTTTTCCCCCAGTTTATGGTATTCATTATATTAAGGCTGCATTTGACATATCTATCAAATAAACAATTCTTAGATGAATTTTGTTTATCGTGAACATGTTTTATCCTGTAATAGACAAGTTAGTTGTATTCATAGTGGGTGTTGTTAGTCACCAGAAGAGATATATATTACGATTTGGGGGGGGGGTAAACCAATGGTTGGAGACTCTTGGTGACATGGCTCAGAATCGATCACAATGGCGTCGGTGTATACACTCCCTGTCTTCCCTTAAACTAAGAGATTAAAATCACTTCATACCTTTCTTTCTACGAACCAATTTTTTCTTCTTGTACTATATCTCTATATGCAATCTTTCTCTTATATATTACCACCTTTGACATAACCACTGCTATGAATCCGGTGTTCATCTTGTTGTGCTGATGCGGTATGGCAATCTGGATCGATGCACATATGTGCCTGGTCCTACGTTGTAGCTGATTGACTGAGAGGGGGGGGTAAACAGATAATTTTATCATTATTTATATCGAAAATGTTATCTGTAGCAAGGTTGATTGGCAGATAAGATCAATATACGTATGGTGGAAGCCATAAATATTTGTGCTGATCTGAACTATTTTTGACACGATCTATTAGTTTATTTGCAGAAGGCTATGGATCCAACGAGTTAATGAAGGGACTTCGTTCGAGATGAAGATATTCAATGATTCTGTTTGATTACTGTCATCTCTTAAGGATTGTCTTTATCAGGTAACAAGAATGAGTAACTCCGAATTTCCATAATACGTCTGGGTGCGATGATAACAGTGAAATCGGTGCCACAATTTTAAAACATTCGCTTCAGTAGTTTGAAAATACTCCAAGAAAGTCATCGCAATAACTTGTACGTTGTACGTTGAAAATGCGGATGAATAGTCCGTTTATGATACGACACCGTGGTTTAAAAGATAATTCTATAGGACTAGTTGTTGTTCATCTTAACTGTTTTGTCTGGGGTAATGTAAATAATACAACTCCAGTGGCTTCAAATATTATCGAACAACTCAGAATACACACCATTGACATTACAGTTTTCCACTATATTTATTTAAACACATAAACATTGGTACAAGGAGGCACCAAATAGATATGCTCCACATAAATCATTCGATTTGTGTTAGAGCTGTGATACTGCCCAGACCGAAACAGGTGGTTTTCTTGGCGGGCCATACTAGAGCCTTTGACCTAAAAGTATAATCCACAGTGCAGTGGAGCACGATCAGGAGATGCAGTCCCATTTGTTCTCTCAGGATACTGGAGACTATGTACACCATTAGTTTGTAATCAGGGTTTTCCAACTCACCTAGGTGGATCCTCCATATCCACCAACGCGGTTAAAGCGCCAGTCATTCGCTTTTCGTCCTCTCTATTTCCTAAACGACACCCCGACTGAGAGAAGGCAATAAGTAGAA